CAAAGGCGACGAATAGTCGAGGAAAGTCAGCAACTGAACTCGAAGAAGTGAAAGAAAAAAAGGAAACACAAATTTTCAGCAAATGAAATGATACCGATTTCAAAATATGTAAAAAAACAAAACAAAGAATTAAATGCAACGAAATAAAAGGAGAAGAGCAAGAACAAACCGTTGAATTTTTTCTCACTATTTATCACTCGTATAACTTTGTAAACATTTTTCTTTTTTTCCAGTAGCGATGCCAAGTGAAATGGCCACCATCATCACTGGAAGACCTACCCACAAAGAAAGGAAGAAAATGGAAACATTTCACTGCCTGACAATACCATTTTTGGCGATCCGTAGGCATGATTACAGTTTCCAGTGCAAATTGTGAAATAATAAACTTACATTGTGAGATGACGTGATACATGTACACTTTGGTGTTGATGTTGTAAACTTTCACAACGAAGAAGTAGAGGTCAATTCCCTTGATCGGCATCCAACAGAAAACGGCCATCAAGAAAGACTGCATCAGAGCTGCTATTGTAACACAGGCAGCCTATGGAAAGAAAGAGTTTTTGCATAATTCTTCATATGGGTGAGCATGTAAAAGGCATGTAAAAAATTTCATTCTTTCTAATGATTGTGTTTACAAACTTTTCATCTAGTCCTTGAAGCCTACGCGCGAAAAGTTTGGACTCTTGCATGCTCTCTGGAGCTTGGACACTGATCCGTTCATGAACGCGAATTTTAACTTCGGCTCCCCTCCAGAGCATTTTTAAAATGTCGTCTCTGTTAGCCTTGTGTCCAGACTTCCAACGGTGAAGCCGTACGACTACTTCTTCTCAGTGCAAACTGAGACTGCTTATCATTTTCCCTTAAATAATAGGCCTGCATACAGTGGCCCATGTATTTCAGCACCACGGTCTCCTTTGCTTTTCCAGTTTCGAGCAACAAGTTTTAAGTATTGAAATTTTTGGGTACAATTTTGCCGAGGAAAGAAATTTGTTTAGTTTCTTAGCTACTCTCTACAGGTTTATGAAAAGCAATCCTCAACATTAATATTGTGATATTAACATATCATTTTAATGTGTAATGATACTCTACCTAATGCAAGTGCACTCGCTATTTCTTTGTCTGCATTGATGTCCGCTGGAGACTTCGGAAACTTTCAGATCACACCCTTTTCAGGCTTTACGATGTCAATCAAAGGTTGCACAGTCTCCAGACCATCGTAATTGTACCAGACTCGCCGAGTGGTGTACGAACACGACCGAATACACGGGAAGAAACACTGGTTGTATTGACGAGTGGTGTAACAGCAATCAATAGAGTTTCCCATAATGAAGATAATGGACATTTAGAAAATAAAAAAAGTCAAAAAGAGAATAATGATCAACTTTTACGAATCAAAAGAACAATTGATAATATTTAAATGTAGTCAAGTCTAAAAGCGGAGCTGTAGGGATGTTATTACTGTACAGCCCTTTACCTCATTAAAACTTATCACTGGTTGTCAAAGAATTTATTCATGGCAACTAGGAAGCAGATATTAATCATGAAGAGGGGGGCTTGGAGTCAAGGGCCTTTCAGTGGAGGCAGCTTTCCTTTGTTCAATTAAGAAATGAGACGGTCATCTTCTTAAGTAAGTTCCGTGGATAATAAGAGTGAATGACTAGCTAGATAATTTGTGCAAATAGCAAGTAAAGGATTAAAAGCAAGATATTTTTAAATTATTGGCGGTAAGCGTCCTCAGTGATCAAATGAATTGGATCAAAGTAGTTATGAAAGACCAAATAAAAACTGTGAACATTGACAAAGCGATGTTGGAATTTTTCGGTATGAAGCGGAGATGAAGAAAAAAAAACTTCATTGCCTCGATGCGCGCTATTCATTTCTTATTGAGGGAATAGAGAGATAAACCTGTACTCGAGCCAAGATGCCTATCCAGCAACAGCCTATTCTTGTTTCTGTAGCGTGAAGTGACAAGAAGTATAGAAATTCTCCCCCTGGCTGGAATGCTCGTCCGTGACATGTTCCTCCCCTCATTTCCCCCACTCAACCCCTTGCTCAGCATTTCGTCAGGTTTTTCTGTCAGTTCGCTGGTACCCATTTCAACTCCTAAATGAAGCGAGGCACTGTGAGGATAAAGAGACTTGCCTAAGAACAGAGCACAATATGTGAGAAATTTTAGTGCGAACTCTGCAATGGTAAATCGATGCCTCGTCTCTGTCTCGATATGATTGTTTGGATGGTTGGATCGAGAAGGTCCCATTCGTCTCACAAAAAAGAGAAAAAAGAAAAGAGATTCACTATCATTTGCGCGATTTACTGAAGGGACACACCACTCAGATAATCAGCTGGTAGCTGAATCAGTTTTATTCCGATTGTGCATTTCGTCGGCGATCGTGTGGGTAGATGGAGTGTCTACGTGTTCGTATCGATTCGTCACCTCAACTCCGGGCATGACGAATGTGTACATCGGTGTGTTCCAAATACGAACTTATACAAATTTCTTTCTGGGATTCCGTTCTCACAATAAGACGAATTTTGATGATTACATATTTTTTATGTATTTTTTTTTACAGAAGATGGCTAAGAAATATACAAAGCTTTAAAACGCATGTGCTGAGCTGCTAGGCCATTAAATCGTTTGTTTTACCAAGTCGCCGCCGCCGTGGATTAGAGACCTTTAACTACGACGACGGCGGCAACGGGGACGAAGCAAAACAAAAGATCTAATGAGCAGAACAAAAGCAGAACAATAGCAATTGAATGCAGAGTTAGGGAAACTGAGGCCTCTAGAAGAGAGAGAATCATGAACATAGCCGTGAACCACGCACTAAGCTCGAATTAAATGTTAGAAGAGATGTAGCCTTCAAGCTAGCACTTCCTGTTGCAGTTGTTTTTCGTGCAGTCAGCGGAAAATAAAAGGGCGTCACGCGAATAAAGAAATCGCAAGGGTCTGCCTCCTCTTTTCGTGTTAACGGAGGTTTGTTTTTCTTTTGATGGAAAAATAGATCAAATGGTCAATTACCCTCAATCATCGTTTTCGAATAAATCTGCTGCGTATTCATTGCCGCAATTAAAAAAATAATTTCTTGAAAAAGTTGAACTTGAGCTACTAGGCTAGTTTACACTGCAAGCACATTTTCAACTCATTTTCTTTTTTATAATTTTGCCGTAGTTTATTGTTATAATGGTTTCCCTTGAGCTACACGGCTAGATCACGCTACCATAACATTTGGACGTGATGTTGAAAGAAAGGAAAACATCAAGAACCACATCGCTTAAAGATTTCATTATTCTGCGATCGGGAATTTTACGAGTTAATTGTCTTCATTCAAAACACTAGAAGCTTCTAGTGATTACTGAATTCCTTAGCAGTCGAAAAACTATGGGAATTAGCCTCATATTGAATAAACAAACTTAGTCACTGTGATTGCATAAGTAAAAATACCTGCGTTGTTTAAGAAGTGATCATATCATAAAATCAGTTAGGAGAGATTTATTTGGAAAGAAATGTGGCTGTGATTTTGTGATTTCCACTTCTGAGAGAAATTGTTAAACTATCCCAGGCATATCAGAAGTTTCTGATATGTCTAACAAAATAAATTAGGACGGATAGTTTTGTGTTTGACTTTCTATAAGTTTAGAGACTGCGTGAGACCTTTGTATGGCAAGGGATTAGATTGTTATAATCTTAAACACAATTTTGAATTGTGCTGCGCTGAAGCCGAGAATCTCAAATTCCTTTCTACCGAAAAGATGATTTTTCGAAATGAAACTTACCTCATTCAGCTAATAATGAAAGTATTGTAACCGAGAGCATCTTAACAACCGTCAGCCAACTGATCAGGAAAGTTTGCACGTACGCGGGTGCCCTCGATTGTTTTCACTTTGTAAACAGTTTGCAGCTTTTGAGTGTGAATGTTTTAGCTTCGTATTTACGTAAGTGATTACGTTAACCTCTGGTCGTGTGCTATGACTGCCGAATTGGTTACTCGACAACGTGTCAACAAAAGACAAAACATCCAGCTTTGAGGAATAAACAAACTGACTCGCGTTCCAGTTTTCAAAAACTTTTTATTTATAATCAACAAGAAGATATTGTAAGTAATATTTGCTGAAATTACACCGCGTTTTCTTTGCCAATGGACCATAACAGATTACACACCTGACACAAAAGAATATATTTGCCAGAGGATTGTATTTTGAATGTACAATTAGTCAACACGATGAATTTAGAAGCTAACTATCAAATAATATTGAGAAGGTTTTAAACATTACTCACAGAGGAATCCATATTTTAAAACCACCTTTATAAAGAAAGAATCAAATAATGAATTAGTCGAGAGGTAAAGGTATTAAAGCTAATAGTAAGTATGATTGTCTGGATAAGTGAACTATTTAAGTGATCACCAATTTTTCATCTGACTTCCCCTCCGCGAGACATGAAATTAGTGCCAATCACTTTCATGGACATTAGCTCTTTTCAGGACAATACGCGCTTCTTGATCGACCGTTCTTTCTAACTTTAAGCAGTTTCTACCGCGAACATTTCTTCTTGTCATGCAGCTGGAAGTTCAAGATCAACGAGTGTTATCGACGACACTGAACAATATCGAAACCACAGATAAATTGTCTTAAGTATTACTGCTTTTTTTCTCAGAAACTTCACAGATTTCTAGTTTAAGCAATCCTCTTTGAAAGTGATGGTATGTTGTAATGTGGCACCCGAGTTTATACAGCAGTATCCAAAAATTTCATTTTATTCTCGTATCGTAACCAACAGTTCGGGCCATAACCATTTCTGGATATCGGTTTCGAGCTTTGTGATTGGGTGAGATCAAAACCAAAACAAAGCAAATTTGGCCGAGAGGTAATAGAAACAAGAAGAAGCTTTTTTTTTTTCTTTTTTTTTGTGGCGGCCATGTTGTAATGCGGTAGTAAGGTAGTGAGCTGAAACAAAATTCGCTAAAAAGGACTGGACGTAAGGTACCATTAAAAATATTCGTCTATTTCAAACATTCAACATGCATGTCCTCGACATTCTCGCACTCTGGAAGAGTAAAGCGGATTCTTTCTAGCCCAAATTCTTTGTAACGCTGTGGTCCTTCCACCAAGAGCGTCACAGGAGTAAAAGCTCCTCCGCCAGCCTGTTTGTATCTGGAGAACTTCTGGGTAAAGCTTGACCTCGATGTTACTGTCCGTTCTCCGTTGATTTCCCTAGTTTGGGTTACAAGAAAACCAATTAAATAAGGTTGAACCAAATAACGCGCACTGATAACAATTGGGACGAGTGAGGTGTGAGATCGCGGAATCGGGACAATTTCATTTCTTTCCAGTATAGACCCATTTCAAGCGAGGAAAGACAATATCTTGCTTCTTTCCGATTTTTAAACAGAAATTATCAATTTCAGTCCAGCAAGCCTTTACGAAAAAGTAACAGTAAAGCAAGAAAACAGTAACTTACCCTTCAATTCCTGGTTATTTTGCCACATCGAAGCAAAGCATGCAGCTGTATGTTTAGAAAGTGCTGAACCGTGCCGATCTGCTGCCCTTTGACATCTGCTAAAGTGTATGTCTTTCTTTGCGATTTGCTGAAAATCTGGACTTCTCGTAGAGCCTCTGGAATGCGTTCCATTTGTCGTGGAAGAAGACAAGCCAGTGCATGCGAGTCATACGTGTCGTCGTCTTCACTTTGAATAACAAGCGGTGTTCCACGTGGAGCTTTGATCTTGAAATTATGATACCTGGAAAATAAACGCCATTAAAAACATGAGTGGGATAAAATAAAATCAAGTAGTCACAATCTATATTAAGACGAATACACATGATCGAATTCAATGCAAGAGAATCATACAAGGTATTTTGCGCGCTATTGATCGATTCGCGGGAGAATCTAGGTCTCAGAACACTACAAATTCGGTCCTACAGCTTTTAGTCAGCAATAATATGTCCTTTACAATTAACCTTTGATTTGAACACCCTGTATAGAAAATTTGTTCAGGTAATCTCTGCAAAATGTGAAAGCATGAGCGGTGTTTCTAAACGAGTTTCACAATTACAGACAAGTCCCTTGTGGTTTTAGACGAAAATTTCACTCTCATCAGTTCGTGTAGTTAAACTCTAACCTTTGTTTCCGGAATGCTGTAATAGAGACACTTCGGCAAGGCTTTCCACCAATGTGATTTCTTTATTTTCATCTTCATGCCGCTCTTATCGCACATTTCCCGGATACGATACCTAAAGATGTGAGAGCTCAGTGAACGAATACCTCTTTGTTTTATGTTTGCCCGAAGGAGAACTTACTCGCTGGATAATCACATTTATGTGTTAGATCCGTGGTTTCCTGAAATTATTTTTTAGTGTGCATTCGCCTTGGCTGAATGAATCTCTGATGTCAAGATCGACATTGATTCGAAATTTCACCCAGAGCTCCGATTTAAAAGATTCTTTGTTTCTTTGTTTTACGGAGCCTTATAAGGGGCTGGGGGGAATGTAAAATCCTTAAACACCGTCCCTTCCCAAAAGGAAACAAATCAACAAACGCTGTCCCTGATAGATTTGATTCTTCTTTATTTAGACCTTGATTTTACGCGATAGTAAAGTACAGCTTGATTATTCAATCAGCGAAAACTAGAAATGCGTTTAATTCTTAAAGCCGTGTCTGTCAACCCTTTTCCTCTCCATTAGCAGTTTCCAATCTCGTACCCAGGGCTTTTCGCTCCCTAGAAAATCTGGAGAAGCTCCGGGAATGACTTTACGGATTCTTTTTACGCAAACGTCATGTTGACAAAGTTTCTCAAGGAACTCAAAGTGACAAGCTTTGTCGGGTGGGTAGAGCTTGATAGTAAAAGCTTTTCCTTCCTCACTAAACGGAGAAGACAAATTTTATGCTGGTATACATTCCAAATCCTGCCAAAAATAAGCACTCATACTCAATTATTCAAACTCTGTAATCCCGTACAAACTTTTGCCATTTTTTTATAGTTTTCAAAACTTTCTTAGCTCAATGAATTTGTACCCAAACCGCTGCCTCGGTTCTACTCCTCTCCTGTTTCATGGTGGAGCAAGCGCAGATAATGTTCGGAGTGAGATTGTGACTTAGATCGTTAAGTTTTTGACGTCATTGTTAATATTCGCTAAAGTTCTGTTTTCTGGGTTGAAGAATTTCTCCAAATACTAAGAAAATTTTTTTTGTAGAAACTTTGCTTTTCGTCATCAAAGGAAATATTTGAGTGGGACAGAAACTGAAACCGGAGAATAAGTTTCAAATTTGATTTAATCTGTTTTGAATGTCTGAACAAATATTTGATTTCTGTGATAAGATATAGTGCACGTTTTGTATTTTAGACAGTTTTTACTCACTCGATTGTTCAATATTTTTCTAAATAACTCTCGACTATGCGATGACAGGGGAAAAATCTCAATGGTTGAATATAACGAAAACTATAATTAACATTACCACACTCAGTATTTTTAAGTAGAGTTTTAAAGCTGATTATAATGTGTTTTGAAACTAGATTTAAACTCGGCGAGTTAAGCCATCACACGTTGTAGATCTTAATGGTTGTGATAATATTATAGCTGACTAAATTTTTTATTAAAGAGCGGCACCCGTGACTTTCCGGTTATTAAATGTTTTAGAGGAAATTTTCTCAGATTTCAATTTTCTCTTCCGCGTGCGCACTTTCATTGAAAAGCTTAGCGAACACATCTTTATTTAGGCCAACGTTTTGACGTGAAAAGGGGTAGAAAAACCTTACGGCCATGGGTGCGGTTTCTGCCTCTTTTTTGGGACCTGTTTTCCCTCTTAAGAAGGTCACGATTCAGAGGAAATGATTTTTTACCGACGCAAAAGGACACCTTTTAGAGAAAGGTGCTTCTCGTCGGCGAAGCCAAAAAGCAGATTTTCAGTATCGATTACAAAAAAGTTTGGCTTGTGATTTACTCTTGAACTTCCATCAGTTTCTCCTCGTCTAAAACGGCCTTTATTTCAAGTTTACCACCTCTTCTCAACCGAAATTTTCCCTTGAGTCCCGCCAAACAGCGGAAAAGTTAACTCTTCACAGATCCAACAAAAACTGAGAGGATCAAAGAGTGACCAGGAAAGTTGCGGTACAATGTGTACGTAGTAAGCTCGCCTGACAGAAAGTCTTCAGACAGCTTATATCATTACAGAAAAAACAAAGTGTAACGTTTGTTCACAAACTGGTTGACTCATCTCACCTTGCTGATTTCGTTTTTCCTCGAGGTTTCCCTTCTGAATACTTGAACTAGGTTTTTCTCTACCTTGGTCACATTACCTCTTTATAGGCCACAATAAACATTTTATTTTTTCTTTTACTATGAGAATCGATTTACCCTCGAAAAAAAAAATGTCATTTTACGCCAGTGGTCCTTTACCTCTCTACGATGACCTTTTTCTCTGTCTTCAAACTGGCCGCTGGGATGAGTTTCTGCTGCCCGCTCTTTATTATCACTTGAAAAAGCGTTCAACCGTTTGCGCGTGTGCGGATATTTCGTTTTCAAGCTGTCAAAGTCAATGGTAAATTACTGGGGTAACAAAGTATCCGTAGTTGAATAAACTTCGTGTTCAAAAAATCTGTATTTTTCCTTTGTCAAACTTTTGTTGTTTTCTGTCATTGACTCAATTCTTTTCTTAGATTTTGCGTCAGACAGGTTGCTTTGTATCCTCTCCTTTACCATTTTGCGCGGGAAATTTCCAGCCAAAATTGTTCCACTTGTGTGTTTCAAAAGAGATTAACTGTTTCCGTGCACAGTATCCCCGTTTAGGTATGTTTTTTTCCTTCTCTTTTCTTTTTTTTTTTTTTTTTTTTTTTTTTTTTTTTTTTTTTTTGGGGGGGGGGGGGGAGGGGGAGGAAGACTTAAAAAAAGAGCTAACATGTGCTGTCAGTGTTTTGGAAAGCTCAGTTTTTAGTTTTTTACCCATGGGTCAATTCTCTGTTGACCGTCGCTTTTAGACCGTTGTTTGTAGAGATCGAAAAGTACGCTTTACGTTGAGCGATAGCATAGACGGTTGAATATACATGTCAAAAGTAATTTGTGGAAGAAGATGGTGTCGAATACACTCAAATGTAGAGGAACATCATGGGCGGCAAAAAGTTTCGTCTGGTTCTTCTTTACCTTGGGGTAGCACCGACGAGGGGTAGTTTTCGTTTGCTGGTACTCCACAAGCACTAAATGGAGCAATTTTTTGTAAATATCTTGCCACTGATGAGATAATTGCTGACATTCTAACGAGGCCTTCCTTAAGCACCGCTTCGAGAAACTAATCTTCAGGTCGTGAAGCTACGTTTTAATTATCTAATTTAGATGGACCTACATACAAACATAATACACTCTGAAGGAAAGTGGCATTTTTGTTGCCACCTCTATGTTGCCATCCTTTATCAAGTTTTTCTTTATTTTAAGCGTGAGATTCAATTATAAAGAAAACAACACATTTAATACGTATACGTGCGAAGTATTTCAGCCATTTGCCAGTGATCACGGGGTAATGCAGACTACAGTCCCGATCTTTCAGTCTAATTCTCGAGTATATGATCTATTCCTTTCACCATTTATCTATTTCCTTTCTCTTTAGAAGTCACAGGGTTGCATTGTTTCCATTAGATAAAGATATTCTTCGTCCTCTTTTGAGAATCCCGCCATAACCCTATCAAGCCGCTGAAACAATTCATACCCTCTTTTCTCTAATTTCCGAAGATGAGAGTTAGCGACATCCTCTTGAAATCGAACTTTCTTCCTTTTTTTACCTTTGCAGTGTTCGTCATGGCTCACTCTTCCCAGTGTTTTCAAGAATTTGCTAATTCCATCGAAAAATGATTTTCCTCTTGAGTATTTCGGCTGTTTTTCTCCTGGTTCTTGGCCTGTTTTTCCCCTCAAAGCTTTGATGGCCTCACTGATTTGGTCAAAGTTGATTTTTGAACTCTTCTTGGAATCAGGGGTAATACTTCTATCTACTGCTTTTTTCTCTCCCGTGTTTGATGCTTGGGAGACTTTCAGTTGTCTCAGTCTACTGCTAACAGAATCGAAAAATGTGTTCCGTTCTTTTGAGCCTTTGCAACGAACCTCATCAACGAGCTCGTGCAACTCACTTTCGTTCGCGGTATCCTTTGCATCCAGAAGTGCATCGTTTATTACGCCGATAAAAAAGTTCATGCAGATAATTGTTAGGGTGAAAAGAATAGCAAAGACGAATATCTTAGCGTATGTGCTGTTTACCTCTGCTAATTCACTGATTGGTCTGGCTTTCACTCTTCCAAGAGTCAGTTCGAGTTGGAAATAAGCTGCTTTTAGCACTGAGGAGTAGCGCTCAGATCCGGTGCCAAACATCAATACACCGGCGTGAAGAAATGCCACGAAGAGAATCAATAGGACAATGCTAAAGGATGAAAGAGATTGTGCAGATATCGTCAATGCTTTGGAGAATACAGCAACATGTTTATTGAAGCGAATGACTCGCAAGAGTTTTGTAGTGACGATAAACATCAGGATTCCAAGTACAACATTTTCTGCTTCGTGCCAAATGATAGCTTTTTTGAAACTTATATTTGCATAACTGTTTTCTTTTAACCTTGCCCATGTTGAAGAGACTATGATTTGTCGTTTTATGTACAAAACCATAGCCAACACGGAGAAAACAACCTGGGACATCTCCACCCAATTCCACACGGACTGGAAATACCGGGGACGGTGATTGTAAAGCTTGAAGCATTCTCTTCCCAAAAACAGCAGAACGGATACAGCGTATAGTAAAATGCAAATCAAATAGAACTGATATGAAGCTGTGTTTGTAGGATCAAGAGAAAGAATGTCAGTTTGTACCAAAGTTTCTTTGAGTCCTGAAGCCTCAACTTCGTAAAAGTATGTGGCAACACCTAAAATATTCACCGACGGGTTAAACACGGAAAACTGTGCGAGAACCACCCGGGTTTGCCTGTCAAGCCAACCGTTGTTTTGCAAAGTGGTTACGGCTTTGAACCCCGTATGGTTCTTGTACCCGAGGTCTGCTACAAATCCTCCTCCACGATAAAATGAGAACTGTCCCCACTCTGACCCGCTATCACTTTCTTCCGCATTTTGATATCGCCATGGCTTCGGGCAAAGTCGAAATAAATCTTTGTCTCTCGTAGAGTTGTCGCCAAACCTCCAGCCCGGTTCATAGAAAGCGGTCTTG